AAAAAAAAAAAAAAAAAAAAAAAAAAAAAAAAAAAACTAGCCTGATATGGTGGCATATGCTTGGAATCCCAGCTACTCAGGAGGTTGATGCACGAGAATCGCTTGAACAGGGGGCGGGGAGGTTGCAGTAAGCTGAGATCACGCCAGGAAAACAAGAGCGAAACTCTGTCTCAAAAAAAAAAAAAAACACATTTCTTCAGTAGCTCCAGGGCCCTAAATGCTGAGCAATGACCACACGCCTGTGAGGAAGCTGTGCCTACGCTCTGAGACCTCACACCATCTCGCCGCTTTGCCCAGCTTTGCGAATGCGATAGGAGTGTCCATTAACAAACATTTGCTTTGCTCATGGCCCTGTTGCAGTGAATGAGCTGAACGGGCCGGGAGGAGATGGCCAACCCGCTGTGCCACCCAAGCCGTGCCCCCTGTGTGCCAGCGACTATGTAGCTTCTTGGGATGGTGCCCTAATGATGGGTTGGTTGATTTGTTCATTCATTCCTTGATATCCTTACCAGCCACGTACTCCTGGCCTGGTGGGTTCAGCAGGAGGAATGAGGGGCAGTGGGCAGGAAGGCAGAAGGCTTCCATCTTGGTTTTTGGTTTTCCAGTAAGCTGGGTGATCTTGAGCATGCCACCTAATTATTGATTCACAATCTATAAATCAGGGAGCCCTTTCTACTCTGGCTCCTAGGTAAGGATTTTATGAAGCTCAAATGGAATCATGTGTATAAAAGTGTTTTGTGTATTAAACTGTAAAGTGCTATGTAAATGTGGTGAGTCATGACGTTCACATTTTAATCCCATTCGACCTCCTGCTGTTTTGCCCATTGGGATGTACCTGTGAGGCACTGGCATGTTTCAGGATGAGACCAGCCTGAAGACCAGCTTTGGGGAGAGCCTGCTCACTCATTACTTGGCTTTTTGTTTGTTTATTTTGCTTCGCCTTTTAACCACCACCTCCCCAACTTGCCCCTCTCTGATCTTCTCCCCCCGACCCAAAAATAGGTCTTAAATCCTCAGAGTCTCTAGTTCTTGCCCATGTATGTGAAATCTAGCAAAAATGTTTCTTTAGAGTCACTGAGGAAATATTTTTTTCATTGAAGTGTACTGGTACAAACCCAGTCTCCATCTTTTATCTAAACCTCTCAGCAGGGATCAATGAGGCACAGATGAATAACATCCATGTTCTACAAAAACAGAAACCAAGATGCAGAGCAAATACATGAGTGGTGACAGTCCTGGAGATCACGGGGACCGCAGACTAAGGACTCTTGTCCTCTAGCACTGTCCCTGAGGGTCCGCTTTCTATTTCTCCATGTCCAGAACCATGTTCAGAACCCGGAAGCTGAAGCTGTAGGGCTGGGGGAAGGGAGAGTTCTGCATAGTTCTCGGCTCAACTTCAGACGATCCCTTTAGGAAACACTGCTTGGGAAATGCCTGCAGAAGGATGAAAGTCAGAAACCAGCCCGGCCTCTATTAACTATTCCTTGGGTCAATATCAAGGCCCTTTGGAGAACATTATAATACCCAAGGTTGACTCAGATAGTTTTTTCCACGATGTGTTCCTAGAAGGTCCCATGTCACAAAGCTTAGCCTGCCAGTGAGTCTGGGCCACACCGCATGCTGCATCCTCTTCTTGGAAATCCACTTGCCTGTGAGTGCATTGAAGTCCTTGGGAGGCTCTGCAGTACGGAAATCTTGACCCCTAAACTCTCTTGCACCTCTGTTCCCCTCTCCCCCTTTATTGTGTTTGCTTATTGATGCTCTCCAGAACCCTCTTTTGGAAATGTCAGTGGGCTGATTGCACTCTGGGGTACTTTCTTTTATGCTCAGCTTGGGGGTAGGGGAAGATGGCACTTGGGGTTGGGGGTATGGCTCTTAGATGACCCATCATGAGGGTCATCAGACGAAGTGGAGAAGGGAAGGAGACAGGGGTGCAGTCGTGTGAGCTGAAATCTGTATGACCCTGAGGTCTGGCTGGCCAGGGAGGGCCCTGCAGGAGAGCCATTGCAGGCGGAGTCAGGGGAGATTGGGAGAGCTGGATCCTCTGGTGGGAGATGGCCAGGGGGGCTGCTTCTGCTTCAGACTGAGAAAGAAGCCCAGGGCTCCTGGGAGGCTGAGGGCCGGAGTGGGTCCCTCCAAATGTAGATTTTTTTTTTTTTGTCATATCATTAGAGAGTAGAACCTGCATGCCTCATCAAAGACAGTGAGGCCTCTACGCTTTATCCCATTAGGGCCATGTTTCTGTGCTGAGCTGCCCCACTTGGTGGCAGTGATTGTGGTATTGCTCTCAGCTCAGCTGAAGGGGCACGACTTGGGGAAGGGAAAACATGGAAGTTCTGGTAATTGCTCTTGTAAGTTAGCCATGACCGGGACCTGACGGCGGGCTGGCCATGGAGCAGTGGGAGAACCGCCCTGTTGAAAAGGAGCAGCCTGGGGAGGGGCAGATACGAGAACATAGGTACAGGAGTGGACTCAGATCAAGGGAGGAGATTCTGCCTGGCGGGGCCTTTCTGAAGGAAGAAATCAGTTATAACCAGTGTGGCCGGCACCACAGGGATCCAGGGCAGATGATTGTGCTTCTTGCCAGCGCATGGATATGTGTGGGGGGTGGGGGTTGGGTAGTTGTGCTTCTTGCCAGCACACGGATGTGGTGGGAGGAAGCAGGGGGGGCGTGACAAGGGGGCAGGGCCCGCACTGGCCAGGGGTGGGCTGTTTGCCGGTGGGAGCCCATGTGTGTGTCACACTATCAATGTCCAGCTGGCTGGGTTGGCAGCAGCCCCTGTAGGAGCCTATGTCCCTGGGAAGCCTCTCTCTGGGGAAAGGCAGGGTGGGCAGGCTGTGTGCAGAGGAGAAGCCCACGCTGCCCATGTCCACACAGCTGTGTGGGCACCAGTACCTGTGAGATGCCATTCCAGGCTGCCTGAAGCAGCCAGCTCTCTGTAGAAGAGAGAAGGAGAGAGCATGGTGCAGGCAAGGAGCAGGCAGGGAACAGAAGGGATTTTAGTAAATGGCAGGGCAAAGGGGGCAAGAAAAAAAATGGGAAATGACTCAAGAAGTGTCAGGGTCCCAAGCATCCATGTCAGGACACTCATGGCATTTCGGCAGGACAGTCCTTCATTGGAGGGGACTGTTGCCCATCAAGAGATGTTCAGCCTGCCCAGCCCACACCCGCTGTATGCCAGGGATGCCCTCAGTCAGCAGGATGACCATAGCTGCCCCCAGCCTGCCTCTGGAGGAGGTGGTCACAAAGCCCCCCTTTTCTCCAATGGTCTGAGATGATGGAGCTGGAAGGGCCCCTCCCAGGGAGTGAGGACAGCCACTGGGCACCCAGCCTCCAACTCTAGGGCCACAAAGAGCAGATGGGTTGGGAGAGGCTGTTGAAGGTGCATTTTTCTTAAATCAACAAACCAGTATTGAGTCAGGTGCTGAGGTCGGCCCTTTTCCTGAGGAGGAAAAGTCAGATGTGACCCCAAACCCCAGGGAGCCCAGAATCCAGCAGGGGAGGTGGACGAGCAACAGGAACCACCCCACATTTACTCACAACACAGACTGACCAGGGCACCCTGCCGCCACATTAGCTAGTGAGCGTGGGTGCGGCTGCAGTCGTGAGAGACCCCAGGCTCAGCGGCGCCACCCCAGAGCAGTCCTGTGCTCCAACTGGCAGATGGGGCACAAAGTGTGGAGAGGCACATCCACCTCTGAAATACCTGCTCTTGGAAGTGGCCGAGACCCCTGTCCCATTCTCTGGACCTGTCACGTGGCCACATTCAGCTTCAGGGAGTCTGGGGCGGGGCCCTGGAGGCAGGACCACAACTAGAATGGAGCCTGTGGGTACCCACCAGCCATCTGTCCCTACCCCACTCAGCTGGTAACAGGAAGAGAAACCGCGCCGGGGGTGGATTTTTCACCTGGGGAATCTTTACCTTTCAGGAAATGTCTGTTATCACTTGGCCCATGTATAAGATAAATAATGTTCCGCTGTCTGACATAGTTAATAACCACCAAAATATTGTGCAGATTTAGAATCCTAGAGCATCAGGGCTCAAAAAGACCTCAGGCGTGGTCCAGTTCGAACCTTTTGATGTCCAAAGGGGACTCTGATGGTCAGAAGAGAGGTGCCCGGGTAGAGATCACCCAGGTGGGGGTCTCTGCCCAGGCCACCAGTGTGGCTGCTCCTGGTGTCCGGGAGGCAAGGGAATCCACAGAGCAGCAAGCTCAAGCCAAATGTGCAGGTTTATTCTAGGACCTCAAGCTGCTGCCCCAGGCTCTCGCCCTTGCCCCTGCTGGGAGGGTCAGAGCCTCCTCCTCCTCCTCGGCCAGGATGACTCAGATGCCCGCGTCAGACATGTTCCCCTCCCTGCCAGCCTGGGTGACGTCTCTCTGAAACTGTCTGCTCCCTCAGCCACAGCTTATGGGCAAGATGAAGCAGTGTCACACAGCCCTGTCCCCCACAGTCTTCCTCGCCCGGGGTCTTGTCCCTGTCTCCTTATACCACCACCCCCATGAAGCTTACATGTGCACCTGCACAGCCCCGTGTCGCACTACTGCAGTGGGAGTGAGCCCTTGTGGGGAGGTGACAATGGCCCACATATCCCTCAGTGTGGGGGGGAGTGGGAGTGTGGGTTCTGGGACCACTGCGTGTGAACACCTGCAGCTCAGGTGGGCCTCTCGAGCGTTCCCCCAGCCTATTGCAGATGGGGAGCGTGAGGTCTGGTTTTTGAAGACCTGGATGCACGTCCTGGGCAAGCTGCTTGAGCCTCAGCTGCCTCATCTGGAAAATGGTCATCATTTGTAATGCCTCAAAGGACAGCATATGAGAAAGTGATCTGTAAACTCTAAAGTGCTGTCCACATGCTTTGGAGGAAAGGTTTTCCCAGGACTGGCCTTGTTAGCTGATCAAGCAGAGTGTGGCATTGGGGATGACATGAACTGGGTCCCAGGAGGAGCCAGGAGTGGGAGGGAAGAGGTGCTTATGGCCACACTTGGAATGGCATGGTCTCATTTGCTAACTTGGAGTCAGCCTGGGCAGGTGCCGTCTCTGATGGGTAAATGTGGAAACCAAGGCCCAGAGAGGTTTAGCCATGTCCACAGAGGTGCAGAGCCTGCCAGGAGGCAGAACCACAACTAGACTGGAGCAGCTCTGTCAGTGGACAGTCCAGGACTTGGTGGCTTATGTCCAAAATCAAGAACAGACTAAGTGTTTCAACAGGGACAGAAATTTCAGTGCGTTACTGAAGATGCCATAGAAATGGTGGGATGCAGAAAAACTGAGCAGACAGAAATGGGGGCTAAAAATAGTCTGTTTCGAACAGGCAGAGACCAGTCCAGTTTGAGAGCAGAGAGGGGGTCATAAGGCCGTCCAGGACTCTGGGATGTGCCTGCCTTGGGCAGAGGCGAGGTGCAGCAGGGCTGTCGAGAAAAGAAGGGCTGCTCATTGCTAAAAGACCGACGGGTGCAGCTCCCTGGAAGGAAAACTGAAGTAGGGCTGCTCATTGCTAAAAGACCCATGGGCGCGACTCCCTGGAAGGAAAACTGAAGCAGCAGAAAACACCCAAGTCAGGGTGCATTTGGGGGATGCCAAAGAAGGCGGGACTTCCAGATGGCAGAGACTTCAGAGAATACAGAGCCCCGTCTTCCCCAGCCCATTTGCCATTTTATAGCTGGAGAAACTGAGGCTTGAAGAGGGACTTACTCAGGCATTGTGGCCCACATCCATCACTTAGCCCTGCCACATTGCCAGGTACATGGGGCATCTGCGATGTGCTCGGTTGCTAGGGAAGCTATGCCACTGCCTATTTGAGGACAGTGGCTGTGCAGTAGGAGGCAGGAGCCAGCCCTGGGCTCCACGGAGGACGTTCCAGCTCTCAGGCTGAGTTATCAGGAAAGGCTCCGCAGAAGAGATGAAACTTTAGCCGGGCTTGGAGGAATTCAGGTGGAATGCGAGAAAGGAGGAAGTTGTTCACAGCCAGGAAGGAATGCAAATAGTTCTCGAGGCTATTAGTCCCGAAAAGTAGGGATTTCCCTGGATAACAAAACTTATTAAGTAAAAATGCAAGTAGAATAAAAAAAATAAGTAGGTGACACTGCAGTTGGTGTGGCTGATTTGAGGCCTGTCATGGCCACGGTACCTAAATGCCTGGGAAACTTTGGATCCAAGGATAAAGTCATGTCCTCAGTGCAGGCAGAGAGTTGGGTCTTATGATGAAGCCACTGCATGGTAGAGTTGGCCAAAGATTTTGAAGATTACATGATAGAAACCCTGAAGAGTTTTTGTAAAGAGTAAGGGAACTGACAGGACCCATAAGACAACTTCTTCTCATAGTTATGAAGTGATTATCTTGTAACTGTGATTAGAAAAAAAATTCAGCTCTATCATCTTCTTGTGTTTACCTCTTTGCCATGGGTGCTGGGAAGCTCACAGCTAAATTCTGTACTCAATTGTGTTCATTCCCGTGAGTCTAGGCTTTTAAAAGAAAGTTAGAATTAGTCTTCCTTCCACACACATATCCCATTTAGCATGTCTTGACTTTATTTTCACAAAAATGATTTTTTAAAAATTTTATACTGTCATATCCTTTTAGTAAAGGCAGGATGGAAAGAAATATTTTTAAAGTAGTTCGAAGACTTTCTATAAGAGTAACAGAGTAACAAAGCAGGTACAGGATGCTTTCTAGTTTTTATTATTGAGTTCTTTGTCACCTTCTGTTTCCCTTTTTGCTTTGTCTTTAACTCTGTTTGCGCTTAGCTCAGGATTCAGTTTTGCACTCAGTGACAAGGAGTATCCTTAACCTAGGATATGCAGATTCATGGACCTTGCCATTTGCTACCGTGGCTCATATATTTTTCATGTTATAAGTTATTTTTATTATTTGTGTGCCTTTTGTTGTGAATGATCCCAAGTAATTTTGGAATTATAAGAATTATAAATGCCTAGAGGAAGAAGGGAATGAAGAATGGAGCGTGCAAGTATTTGAAATGTCTCAGGAAACTTGCTAGAAGTTGATTTATATTTGCTATGGCAGAAAATGAAAAGTTTAATGAGGGAAAAGTTGAGAACAAATCAGTGACAATGCTTGCAGTATACTTTTGACTAAGCACTTTCTTTCTATAAATTGCTGTGCTTCCTTTCTTTTGAGATGTCGGGGACTTTCTTCCCTCTTAGCATGATAACAGATTAGGAACTATGTGATCACATGGTGGGCCACGACCACAAGGGACAGGGGAGTCAGGGCGTAACAGAAAGTTAAACAGTTTTAGTTTGCTTTTCACAAGGCTCTAATTAACCAAGACAGAGATGGACAAGAATGGAAAGGAAGGCTTTAGCCCCTCTTTCCCAGGTGAAAGATTAATGGGGAGGGGTGTGTCTCGGAAAATAAGTGGGCTTGTGGTTGGAGCACTGGGAAGGGAGGAAATGCATGGAAGATGAAGGAAACCATTTATTGGAAAAGAAACAGGGAACAGGGCAGAGCAGGGTGAGACTGGAGGATGCAGGCAGGGAATGTGGGGAGGTGATGCATGAAAGAGATAGAACCCAAATGCAGTAGAAAGGGAAGGATTGATGGATGTGGATATAAAAGAGAACTTCAGAAGGTTGCATGAAATAGAGGCAGAACAAGGTGCCCAGTAAGCTTTTTGTCAGACCCGATGGCAAGCTCAGAAGATTAAGGGAAATTATTAGCTTCAGGAAAAAGTTCAAAGAGACAGATATGCATTCACTCAGTCTCTAATTGAAAATAATCTGAGGCCATCAGTTAAACCCCAGTGTCAAGTAGCCACTTTGGGGGAGACTTGATGAACGGTAAGTGGAGAGTATCTGTGGCCAGGTGCAAGTTGCAGGTGGAAAAGGGAATGGGGGATTCCAAAAAATTTTGCCAAGCCAAGCATACCAGGAATTCTCAGAACTCCTTATCTTCGTTCCTGGCGTCGGCCCCTACCCATATATTAAAACTTAACCCTTACCGGTACCTCCCCTACCCAAGCCTGGCTTGCCAGCCATGTTATGCATATAAGTGCCCATGCTGGGCTAGTGCTGGGTGCTGTAATAGGTCAATGCCATAACATAATCTCAGTGGCATAACAGGATTTTTTTTTTTTTTTTTTGAGACAAGGTGTTGCTCTGTCACACGAGGAGGAATGCAGAGATGAGATCATAGCTCAGTGCAGCCTCCAACTCCTGGATGCAAGTGGTCCTCCCACCTCAGCCTCCCCAGTAGCTAGGACTACGGGTTCACACCACCACATCTGGCTCATTTTATTTTGTGTTTTTTTTTTTTTCTTTTTTTTACTTTTTGTTCTTTCTTTGCATTATTATTTTTTTAGCTTTGATTTATTTTTCTTTATTAGTTCTGTCCCTCTGAAGACCAGCTGATCTTATTTTATGTTACTTTATTTATTTTTTTTGGTAGAGACTGGGGTCTCACTTAACGCTGCCCAGGCTGGTTTTGAACTCCTGGCCTCAAGTGGTTTTCCCGCTTTGGTCTCCTTTAGCACTAGGATTATAGCCATGAGCCACTGCGCCCAGCCTTAATAGGATTTAAATTTATTTCTTGTTCATATAGGAGTCCAAATGCCAAATTGTGAGTGGCATTCCATTTGAGGACTCAGGAACCCAGGCTGCTCCATCCTCTATCTCCAGGGGTGCTGGAGTCTTTCACTTCTAGCCAGTGCACCAGGCAAAAGAATAGAATTGCCTGCAGGAGAATTTCCATACTAGGCCTGGAAGGGACACCCACTTCCACTCACCTCCCATTGGCTAGAACTCAGGCGCACAGCCACGGATATTGCCACAGAGGCTGAGAGGTGGGGATAGCTCTGTGCCCAGGGAGAAGAGAGAACAGTTTCTATAAGTACGTAGCTGTTTATGTCACGGTATTTCAAAAAGGGTGTGTTCCATAAAATAGATGAAACTCCAACTAAAAACCAGATCACATTAAAAGGTAATTATGTTTACTCTTGTGGGATTCTTTGCTTTTAAAGGATCTAGATAAATTGTTTTAACTAGAAACTCTCCCCTGATAGTGCATTTAATCAGCCAATCAGCCCTCATTTTGCCTGGGTCTTTGCTGGACCAGGCACGTAGAGGAGAGTTGGTGTTAATGAAATGCCTCCTGACCTCATGGAGCTGGAAGTATTGGTGTGTGTGCATTTCGTTTATAAGATCTTACTAGGGGGATAAGGAGAGTTAGGGCTAAATGAAGGAATGTATAAATACAGGCATCAACCGAGGAGAAGATCTGAATCCATTTATAAATATTTGGCTTATAGGTCATATGTCACGGTTGTCCTCCTGGGTCTTTTAAGAAACCTGCAGCTCCTCCCCACCCTCTGGCCCTGGCTCCCAGGCTTCCTGGGGCGTGATAGTTTGCGTTACTCTCCACGGTCCCCCTCTCTCAGTGCCTTGGCATGTACTAGCCAGGGCAGGATGGGCCGATGCATGCAGCTTCTCCTCCTGCTCTGTCATACTTCCAGATGGGATGCTATTTGCTGTCTGCTGTCAGGTCTGCTTTCTCTGAGCATCCTGGTTTTCCCGGCCCGTCTGTCCCATGGAATTCGGTGCTTTCAGATCATTTTTCCCCTGGATGTATGAGCCAGCCACTGTCCTGGTTTCACCCTGTTAGAATTCTTGCCTGCTCTTTGGAGGGAGGAGCAGGGCCAGCCGAGGGACACGGGCCGGGAAGCTAAGAGCAGCAGCAGCTGATGCTGGCCACGTCCTTGGCTGACCCAAGCACATAGACTCATTTTAACAGCCTCCAGTGATGGTGATGTCCTCACACAGCCACCAACAGCTGCCCTCCTGCCTCTTCTGCCCAGCCCCCTTCCTTCTTCTTTGGGCCAAGTAGGTTTAATGGGCTGGCCTTGTCCTGGGCTTCTGCTCCTGGAACAGGGGAATGGATGTTTAATTCACATTCCTCTGCACCTCCACAGCCCCCGGGATGGGCCCTTCCAGCAGGGCAGGGCGATCTTTCAGGGTGTGTTGAATGAGTGAATGAATGAACGGATGTGTACTGAGGGAAGTTCTGCCAACTGGGATTGTCAGATGCTGACTCCTAGTCACAGGGTCTGTTCCCATTTTAACTGGTTCAGAATTTTTTTTTTTTTTCGAGACAGGGTCTCACTCCGTCACCCTGGCTGGCATGCAGTGACATGATCACAACTCACTGCATCCTCAACCTCCCCAGGCACGGGTGATCCTGCCACCTCAGCCTCCCCAGTAGCTGGGACTACAGGTGCATGCTGTCTCGCCTGGCTAATTTTTGTATCTTTTTGTCGAGTTGGGGTTTTGCCATGTTGCCTAGGCTGGTCTCAAACTCCTGCAGCTCAAGTGATCCTCCTGCCTGGGCCTCTGAAAGTGCTGAGATTACAGGCATGAGCCTCTGTGCCCAGCTGGTTCAGAATTGTGAAAACAGCGCTCTCTGAGTGGATGTCTATTCTGCTTTAGCTCCAGCAAGGAACCTCTGCCATTCATGATGCTGTGGCCCAGCCGTTTCAGTCCAGAGCTGCCAGACGAGCCATCTCCAACCCTCCCCACTAGGTGGATGTGGCCTTCAGAACACAGGCTTTAGACCTAGCTTCAAACCCTGCCTCAGAGATCTTGGGCAAGCTGTTTCTCCTTGTTGAGCCGTTATCTGTAAAATGGGGATGATAATATTTACCCTTCATCAGGGTTTGTATCAGGATTAAAAGAGGTATTTCCCTTATGGCACACGTGCTGTTATTGGAATTGTATTGTCTCTCCTCATCCACAACACTAGTTCTCTGCTCCATCCACAGGGCTCAGTGCAGTGCAGGATGTAATTAAGTACTTATTGGATGAATTGCCAGAAAACCACCAAACTCGGCACTTGGCGCATAGTAGGCAGGCGCTGAATGATGGTGATTCCTGTCCATTTCCTCTTTCCCTTCTAGATTGGGAGCTCCTTTGTGGGCAGGAAGTGTAACCTCCTTTTTGTTGCGACTTTGTAACCTCTTAATTCCTTGTATCCAGGAGAAAAACCCAAACACACTGATCATCATGTAGAAACAAGTTCCTGGGCATCCCAGGATCAGGTCACCTCTCCCACAAGCATCTCTCTGCGAGTAGAGGGAGCAGCCCTAGTTCCTGGTGGGTGGCACCATCAAGGCACTGCAGGCCTGTGGAGGAAGCAGAGGCTCCAGGTTCTCATGGTCTAGGAAAGGTCTGGTTGCAGGCTGGGGTGGAGGGGGGCGTCGGTGGAGAGGTGGAGGCTGGCGGGAGGAGGGAGAGCCCTGCTGCTGGCTGCCCCTCCCACACTAGCTGTCTCTTCAAAACCTGGCTCTTAGCATCACTTTTGTCCAGATGTCACTTCCCTTTACCTGCGGGAGGGACGCTAGCACCCCTAAGCTCAGACCTTGGGGTTATTCCTCTTTATCTCCGCCGGCCACCCTCCCCAAGCTCCGAGCCAACCCTGGGCTTGTGGCTACTGTGGGGAATGGCAGTAAAAATCTAATAAATGGCAGAATCTAATAACCTGCATGCAATACTTCATCCAGCAGTTGCAGAATACACATTTTCTCCAAGTGTCCATGAAGCAGTTGCTAAGTGCACCAGAAGTGCACTTACCTCAGAATGCTTTTCTTAAAAAAATGGAATTATATTTTCCCCGGGATGAATTTTAATCCAGACCTTATCGCCTGTATCTGGCCACTGTCACAAAGGGGAATCTCCTGAGTTGGGTGAGCTATTGGACTCTAGAGAGATTTTGTGAAAGGCCTAACGCCCATCCCGTCACGGACAGGGACCCGGCAGGAGCCTTGGTTTTTTTAGGTGCTACCCTGCGCCATACCTCCCTTCATCCTGAACACTCCTGGATCCCGGAAATAAATGCTCTTGTCCTGGTGGACCACACTCCAGTGGCGTCGCGCAGGAGGTTCCAGGGGGCTAGAGGGAGCCGTGGGGTAGAAGCGGCCCCGGGCGCGGGCCAGGGAGCCGGGTAACAAAGCTGCGCCTCTCCCACGCCGCACCCCTGCGCCCCGAGCCTCCCCCGCTGGCACTGCCGCCCGCCTGGAAGAGTAGCCGAGCTCCTGTCGCCTGCCGGGCCGGGTTGTAAACAAACAGTGGAGCGGCGCCGCCCTCGCAGCAGATGGCTCCGCAGCTGCCGGTCGGGCGGGGCCTCCCTCTGGGCGCCGGCGCCGAGACGCGGGGCTGCGCGGTGCCCTCGGCCAGGGACACCCCTCGGGCGCCAGACCCGCTCCTGCTCGCTGGGGGCTGGAGGGGGAAAGCGCGAGCCGGGAACTCTCGGGCGCTTATTGCTCATTCTGTTGACGTCCGTCATCTGTTCCTTCATTCATTCGCTCTATAAAGATTTCTGGGGCGCGGGGACTTCGCCGGCCTGCAAGACGCTGGCCCTCGCAGGGGGTCGCCACGTGGGGAGCGCAGCGGCAGAGCGCCCAAACCCCGCTGGAGTCCTAGAAAGCAGTGGATCCAGGCTGTGGGATGCTGGGCCTGCAAAGCTCTTGGTCTGGATAGGAGGCCTTGGGCAAAGCTGGGAGAGAGCCTGGTCCTGCCCCGCTTACTGGCCAAGGGCTCAGGACGCCACTTCAGCTCTCTGAGCTTCAGTTTCCTCTTCTGTAAAGCGGGGATAATTCCACCGACTGGCAGCGAAGTTGTGCGGATTAAGAACAGTGTGCATTAAGCGACAGGCATGCGGTAGAGGTGGCAGCAGTGTTTTCTTTGTTTTTTTGTTTGTTTGAGATTTTTGTGAAATCTCCCAGGCTTAAGTGATTCTCCTGCCTCAGACTCCTGAATAGATGGGATTACAGGTGCCCACCCCCACGCAGGGCTACTTTTTGTATTTTCAGTAGACAGGTTTCGCCATGTTGGCCAGGCTGCTCTCAAACTCCTGACCTCAAGTGATCTACCCATCTCAGCCTCCCAAAGTGCCAGGATTACAGGTGTGAGCCGCCTCAACAGGCCAGCAGTGGTTGTTTTAATAGCCTCTAGCCGTGTCCTCTGCTAAGACCATCACAGAGGATGGACAGGACGTGTGGAGGGCACAGTGGGTCCTCCTCCTCTCTGGGACCTGACAATTCACCTGAATGGTGAAGTGAGAATCTCCCCCCGCCCCCAGGCAAGGGGGTGTGGGAAAGGCAGAGGAGGCAGCCTGTGTAAAGGCGGAGGCTGGAAGCTCAGGGCCTCATTGCAGAGAAGCTCTGTGCCTTAAGTGGGCAAGATCAGCCCCAGGTTTCTTTTCTCTTACTCTGCGCTCCCCACTTGCACTGGCTCTGGTTCAGCCCTGGTCAGGGGGGCTGGGTTTCCACACAGCCAGCCCACTTCTCTCCTCCTCTACAGTCCGAAAGGTCAGCAGACTTTCATCACAGCCTAGGTCCATTAAACCCCAACATCTTGGTTGGCTGACCCCCAGTATCCATCTGGGTTTGGGGGTGGCCAGTGCTTTCTTTTTTTTTTTGAGACGGAGTTTCGCTCTTGTTACCCAGGCTGGAGTGCAATGGCGCGATCTGGGCTCACGGCAACCTCCGCCTCCTGGGTTCAGGCAATTCTCCTGCCTCAGCCTCCTTAGTAGCTGGGATTACAGGCACGTGCCACCATGCCCAGCTAATTTTTTGTGTTTTTAGTAGAGACGGGGTTTCACCATGTTGACCAGGATGGTCTCGATCTCTTGACCTCGTGATCCACCCGCCTCGGCCTCCCAAAGTGCTGGGATTACAGGCTTGAGCCACCGCGCCGTGCTTTCTTATTGCATTAGGGACAAAGGAGGTGGGTAAGTTTTTCCACAGGCATGAAAATTGGGAAGATGATGATGATGATGACCGGGTTTGTATTAATAAAGTAAAAGTGTTCAATGAAATAAGTCAAGGTGGGGTGTTGGGAAGAACACAGTAGGAGTGAACGGAGGATCTAGATTTCATCCTGATCCTGGAAGTCATTCTCATTTCCTCATCTGAAAAATGGGCCTTGGTCTGGATGCAATACC